TTTCATTTACAGCAGAAGCATTTCTGATTTCTATTAGATGTCAGCTTCACCCACATGTGTAGAGACACCACCACACAATGCACAAAGAGAGACGAGTGACCTCGAACTCATCTCCCAAGGAAACCCAGTGGTGCTTTCTCCTCAAGAACAAGACGATGATGCTATCAGTTCCACAGTCAGCCTACACCCACATTTATTTCCATCATTTTGCATTTGGGATAGGAAGGACTCCTGGGCACTAGAATGCAAAGTACACAGAAGGACCACTCTTGGACACACGTGAGTTTTAGAAGTGTCCTTGAAGTCTTATAACAACTAAACATTGTTTTTGGAATAAGGTCGTGGTTGGGGAAGGTTGGACTTTATATTTCAAGTCTCATAAGATATTTAAAGTGCAGGAATGAAACAGTCAATTACAGCTAACACCTTAACTACCAACCGGCACAGAGAGAACAAGGGACCTAAACTCATCCTGGTCCATGTTTGGAACTTGCTCAATAAGCAGAATCCCCAGTGCTGAGCATCATTTATTCTAATTCTGTCTAAGGAGGGATTTAAGAAAGAGAAGCAGGTGACTTAGTCTATGTGTTAGAAGCCGGTCCCCTGCCAGATCATAGCTTGTCTCTTTGGGAAGGTGAAAAACGGTCTGGAGATTCGGGAGCTCTGTACAAAGAAACTCAGTTAGTTGTTCATTTTCTCATCTCACATCCTTCCTCTCAAAATAATTTAAACCTAATTAAGCTTGAAATAACCTCTGAGCAAAACAGATGTAGTAATTGTGGAGAGAGGGGGAAGCTGTACTTCAGGAACTGGGGCCCTGCAGAGGCCTTCCTTCCCCCTGACACCGTGACAACATGAAACTTGATGTCCGCACTACCTGATGGCAGCCAAGAGCCCCACAAATCCTGACAGTACAAATAGGACCTGGCAAGTGTCACTTCCCAGAGCTGCTCCGGAGGCTGTCTGCACCACAGAGGTCCAGGTGAGTTCATGGAGGTAAGATCTTCGATCCCCTCAGCTGTGCCAGGGAGGGTTTCACTAAAGCAGAAGTCTCTCCCTTTGACCTAGCCAGGGAGCAGTTCAGAGGCTCTGTGATCCTCAGGACCTCTGCTTTCCTTCTGACCCTGAGGAGGCTGGTCCCTGACTCCAAAAAGATCAAAGGAGTCAAGTTCCTGGAGACACAGAAATGGAACAGAAATGCTGAGGCATCTCTATCCATCCTCAGGCTGGAGGATCATGACAGAGCTCTG